ACTGTCCAGCAGGGTGAGACATATGCTATAAACTACTGACATTCTATTTTCCCTCCACGTTGTAGATTGGATGCACTGACATTTGGCCTTAGGCTTCCAGATCATGAGGAACTACCTTGGGACCTAAGCAAAAGGAATTCGTACCACTCAGAGATTCCAAACTAGGGTATGGACTTACTTCCTAAATGAACTCACTTCCTTTCCTGAGGAATACTGAACCCTAGAATCATCAGTATCTTAATCAAATTCTTTTCATAACAGTTGGCAAAACTTCAAAATATCTAGCTAATTAATGGCATTATTGATACACTGTTTTCCAACTCTGATAGCATTTTTTTCCATTCTAATATTTGTTTGATATTTTGACATAATTTGAATAGAAGATAAATGAGTGAGCTCAACAACCATCTTGAAATAGAAATACGGTTCATTTTTAAGCTTTTTTTTTACTATTTTACTTTTAAATTTCTGTTAACATTTTAATTTTTAATCCTGGGTTTCTTTTATTTTCTTCACTCTTTTCATAAATTTGCATTACTTTCTTCCTGCGATTTGCCTTCAGTGAAATCGCTACTTTGGTAATGGCATTAGAAAAGTTCCAAACCAATGGTGGGGTTTGGGACATGCTACCCCCAAATATGGCACTTTAGTATATTGAATATTTTAAGCTGAAGGAGTTTGAGAAAACAGCAGAAGGAGGAAGTTCACTCTGACCTCCTCCTTCCCTCACCCTTCTTCCCTGAAACAGGCCATAAAATCTTCACATGAGAAGTGCTGGAGGAAAGGAGCATCCTTATCTCCAAAGACAAAGGGATACCGAGAGGGATCCTAACAAACGGGACTTGCTAAATTTCCCCCAGTTTACAATTACCTCAGACTCCTTTCCCTATCATATTCCTCCATGACTGTGTTCTCCTCGTCAAGCCTACCATAAAGTACTCAGGTCTAACTATTTCTTTGGGCCTTTATTTCCTTATGAAGGTTCTTGTGTCATATAAAACTTGTATTAAATAAATATGTGTGCTTTTCTCCTGTTAATCTTTGTCATTTTAATTTTCAAACCCAGCCAGGGACCCACAGAAGGTCAAGGAAAACTTTTCCCTCCTCACACCACAAAAAAGAGCCAGAAAATCATTTCCACCCCAGCTAGCCCAGCAGCAGTTGCTTCTGCTTAGTATGTCTGCCATCTCTTTTAATGGTGACTTAAGCAATAATGACTCTGTTGGTGCCTTGAACTTCTGAAATGCTGCTGTTTCTTGGCTTTTAGAAATATGCTGTCTCTTTATGAAAAGTCACTGTCTTCAAACCAATGCCATATGCAACTATTGAATTTTAGGACAGACGGTCAACAACATGCCCCTTGACAGCACATGGAATTACATTTCTCCAGGGAGAGACTCATATCTCAAAGATGTAAACTTCACCTTGGTGAGGAATCAAATGATGCTGGAGACCCTTCTACACTGTTAGAGGGAATGTAAATTGGTACAGCCACTATGGAGAACAGTAGGGAGGCTCCTAAAAAACTAAAAATAGAACTACCATATGATACTGCAATCCCACTCCACGGCATATATCCAGACAAAACTATTACAATTCGAAAAGATACATGCACCCCAATGTTCACTGCAGCACTATTTACAAAAGCCAAGACATGGAAATAACCTAAATGTCCATCGACAGATGAATGCATAAATAAGATGTGGTACATACATATACAGTGGAATACTACTCAGCCATAAAAAAGAATGAAATAATGCCACTTGCAGCAACATGGGTGGACCTAGAGATTATCACACTAAGTGAAGTAAGTCAGACAGAGAAAGACAAATATCATATGGTATCACTTATATGTAGAATTTGAAGAAAAAAAAAGATACAAATGATGCTGGAGAAATCCAGAAGAGGATACAACTCTTGGCACACCATTGCCTGCCTGCTTCAGACGCAGTTCACTCTCCTAAAGCAGGTTTTGCAAGTGTACCAGCTTGGTATGAGGTACTGACTGGGATCTTTACCATGCTCGGAGTTACCAGAGATGAGAGACAGCAAAACTGTTGGGATCAGTGGCCCTAATTTTTCTTTGACTCCAGTTTTTAAAAGATGGCATTTCAGGCAGCAGATTCCCCAGGCTTTCCCAGGGGTGCGAAAGGTCAAGCCAATTTTGAAGGTTCCATGACCAGGAGATATAAGAGGTCTTGGAGTAAGGAGGAGTTGGGCAGTTAGTTTGTCAGGCAGCAACCATCCCTGCCCTCTCCTATTTACACAGGGGAGAAAGACTTGACATCAGCACTGCACTCTCCTTTCTACAAGACTGAAGGTGCCATGTATCCTGTTTCCACTAAGTTTGGAAATAGTGATTATCTCTTTTCTGACATTTACTAAGCCACTGGACCTCATTTTCCTAAGGAGAAAGAAGCATGATAAAAAGAGGGAAGCAAAAGAGGAAATGCCTGGTGGTCAGTTTGTGACTACAGGAGTTTCCTATAAGTTGGGCTGACATCATAGAAAGTGGCAGGAATGATCAGGCTTGCTAGTACACCCCCCAACATACACAGTGAGTGGAGTAACTAAGCCCAGTCACCTTCCACAAGCAAACCCAAGTGTCCTTCCCATCCCAGATGGTGAGAATCCAGCAGTCAAAGGCTGTGGACTAGACTGCCTTGGGAATCAAGCAGGTGGGGAAAGAAGAGTTAAGAATCTCCCAAGCCTGAGGACTATGATAGCGAGCCTATGGAGCCCTCACTGAACAGTAATTGTCCCATGTGCTAGAGAAGAGCCAGTATTTGTCCATCTGTCTCATGGACGGAACTAACAGAGACACCAACACAACAAACAGAAAGCAACATGTAAGGAGCCCTTAGTTGTCTGTTTTCTTCCTTTGGATGTTGCTGGAATATGCTTTTAGCTGCCAGTAATGACAGTGCTGAATGATATACGTATGGGCATAGTTTTCACTATTCTCCCAAGTTTTGTTCACCATTAATTATGATAAAGCTGGTATTGCTGTCAACATGGCATATATAAGAAGTATGATTGAAAAATGAAAAACAAATAAAACCCCAAAAAGGAAATGTGGCTCTAAGACAAAATAGATTTGAAAGGGCCATAAAAATTCAACCTTTTAGAAATACAATAAGAACTAAACTCATTTGATAGAAATATATTTAAAAAGTAAAGGGTTCTAAATACCCAAGATACCAAAAGGAAAAAAGGTCAAGGAGAAAACGGTGGTCATAGACCCTGTTGCTTTGAAGATAAGAGACTAAGAAGTAGTAAATCCTCTATTTGAAAAAGGTAAAGAACCTGGGCTTTAGTCAAAAATTCAGCCTAAAAGGACTTTTCCACTCTTTTCAGATGGCCCTGTTATAACCAGCTCCAGTGACAAAGATCTAGCCTCTCTGTAATTATCTAGTTCACCTTGCCCTTGGACCATCAAACAGACTGGTCTAATCAGGGTTCCCTACTATATCTTCAAGGGAAAGATTAGACCAGGTCACCTTGTCCCCAGAAAGACCTGCACCAGCCCCACATTCACACAGCTTAACTGGAAAGACAAAAATGCACTGGCTGAGCTGGTAGAGGCCATCAGTGATAAATGTGATGAGATCTGACATCATTCGAAGGCAAACTGAGAAAAAAAAAAAGGCTCAAGAGCTTGCCACAAAACTAGTTTAACAACCCTAAATAAAAATCTTGTTAAAATCTCTAAATAAAAATAAAACATCCTCTTAAAACAAAACAAAAAGCTACTGAGGCACTAGACCCAGGGAATAAAAACTACCACATAACTTCCTAGCCTACCCCAAAGATGATGAAATAAAGTCACACACACACAAAGTATCTTTGGAAGATTTGAGATCTCACTAAAAATTAATGTTGTTTAATTAGAAAATGTTGAGAATCTACTTTGCAATGTTTTAAACAGGAAAGCAGCAGTTTCCTGTTTTAATCAGGTAGCAGCAGTAAACTTTTCATTCTATATTACCGATTCTGACAGGAGTCAACTATTTAGACCAGATGATAACTCTGACTTTGGTCAGTATCACAAATCATTAAGAAAAACTTCTGGAGGGACTTCCCTGATGGTCCAGTGGTAAAGAATCTGCCTTGCAAAGCAAGGGACACAGGTTCGATCCCTGGTCAGGGAACTAAGATCCCACATGCTGCAGGGGAACTAAGCTCACGCGCCACAACTATTGACCCCACGCACCTCAACTAGAGAGAAGCCTGCACAATGCAAGAAAGAGCCCGTGTGCTGCAACTAAGACCCGATGCAGCCATAAATAAATAAATAAATAAATAAATAAATAATAAAAAAAGAAAAACTTCTGGAGACATTGTGGGTGGATTATTGCTGGTGTTGTGAAAGAAGCTTATACTGTCAGGAGGATTTTAGCAGCAAGTATGTGTGTATATCACATCCTCAAACCAACTAAAACTGGCTTTAAAAATAAAGAAATTTACTATCTTGCGTAATAAGAAATTGGGAAGCAAGAGAGTTCAAGCCCTTAGGGGCTCGACAATGTCAGAAGGCATCCCTATTTTTTTATCCTGTGTGCTGCCATCCTCGGCTCATTTATCTCCCTCATCTAACAACAGGTAGAAATAAGCCACTCTTTTTTTATTTTTTTGAGGGGGGTACGCGGGTCTCTCACTGTTGCGGCCTCTCCCGTTGCGGAGCACAGGCTCCGGACGCGCAGGCTCAGCGAACATGGCTCACGGGCCCAGCCGCTCCGTGGCACGTGGGATCCTCCTGGACCGGGGCACGAACCCGTGTCCCCTGCATCGTTAGGCGGACTCTCAACCACTGCGCCACCAGGGAAGCCCATGCCACTCTTTACTAGTAGAAAATGGTCTAAGTGACCTTCTCTTGTAGCTCTGCCTCAAATTCACAAGCAGTTATAAAGTAGTGGAGAGAAAAGAGCAGCCTCAGACGTGATGCATAAAGAGTCCCTTTATTATAAGTAATCAAAAGTAAACAAATATTCTCGTTAAACAAAAGTTAAATATGGCTGCCCCAAATGACTAAAATAATACAATGGCCAATAGTTAAACTCTCTCTTCATATATTATCACTACGTGTATATCGCCCTCAACCCGATAACTTTTTATAGAACGTTTCATTTTTCCTAAAAGGATATTACATTAATCACAATTTATTTAAATTATTCTGATATTACCTTTATAAGAATCATCTCTTAAATATTTAAATACATTAGAATGCAACTTTGATCATTTGGGGAAATTTCCCATTTCAACTCAATGAAAACTATCCATTATATTTATCCATTATATTTTATTCTTTTTGGAGTAGGTCACCTCCAGATCTCTTGGAATATTTCATCCTTTTCTACGAAAGTGTATGCGACTCAGAAGTTCTCTGAACTTCAGTATTAAGGAGTAGTTATTCATGTTTTCTTTCCATGTTTCATAAGTCCTTCTAAATTTGTCATAATAACTTTCTCTTTTCAAGTTGAAATCTGATCCAATTTTTTTAAAATAACTGTCCTTTTTCCATATTTCTCTCCAGGAGCCTTTGAATTTTTCCAAATAACTTTCTTTTTCAGATTCTTCCTTCCATATTCCTTCTCCTTTTTTTAAGGCTATTAATTCAGCTTTAAGTAAGTTTCTGTGAATTCTCCAATAGATTTTAGAATCATAATTTAGCCCTTTAACGAGAACAGTTTTGCCAAGGCCTCTTCTCAAAATTTCTTCATTCAGACTCACACTAAAATATCTACCCTTGAATAAAAAAATAACACAAGCCAATTATTTAATAAAGTTACTAGCATACCTGTAACACTTTATTTACTTTAAAATCAGTCATTCTGCAACTTGAGTCCTCCAAATAAAAGTCAAAAATATAAATGCAAAAGGGTCCTTAAGAGCTTAAAACAGTTAATGCTAAATCCAAGAATTTCATTACTAGAAGAGACCATTGCTCAAAGACAATTCACTCTTTTATAACATATAGTTCTCCACAGGCTCACTGGTCTCCTACCCAAAAATGTGCAGAAGCAGTAAAGCACGAAAAGGGTTTTTTGGTTTTATTGTTGTCGTTTGGAGGGGAAATGGAGCACACACCAGACAGGTAAAATGACAGGAGGCCATAGCAAAAGAGAAACTAAAGAAAAGTAACAAAACTAAAAAGCAGACAAATGCAAAATGAAATGAATCATCACTGAACTGTTAATTTAGGTTCAGAATTCCAGTGCTGAGGAAGGCACTGGCATGTAAATACATTTTTAAAAGATGTCCCATAAAATAATGAACATAAAAATAGTCCTGGCCCTTGAATCTTCGCCCTTCAGGAAATTTCATTCATACCTCACTGCCTAATGAAACCAGATAAGTGGGATTTTTTTTTTCCTCTCTCGCTAATTTACAGTGTAAAGGAGATCCTGCTTAGCTATTTCCATAGTCCTTGTGGGATTTTAACTTAACAAGATTAATTTTAACGAAGTATTAGTAATTTTATAGCTTCATTAGACAAGTAATTCACAGTCAAATTTTTTTAATGTGAAAACTAAAAGTTTAAAGTAGGAAACATTTTCTAAGACTATATAAAGGAATAAAGTAATCTTCTGTTCCTTTAAATGCAGTAACTTTTGGTACATGATGATAAGCGGCTAAGAAATACAGTTTTAAAGGGATTATCATATTTGTCTCAATGTTTTAAATTTCATGAGCTGAACCAAAATAAAATTAATTAAAATTCAACCTCACACTACAGTAAAATTCAACAGAAGTAAATTACCGAAATATGCATAAAGCATAATTTGGTCACCTTCTAGGAAAGAGTATAAGGTAAAGACAGATAAGGTAAAGTGTGGTCTCAGGAGCCAGGAAGAGCTGGGCTTGAATACCGGTTCTTCTACTTGGTTACCCGGAGTCCCCCCTGTAAATGGGAATAAAATGATTCCATAGGGGGGTTTTGAGGATAAATAATATATACTCCTCAATTGAAAAGAGAAGTTAATATTTTTGTAAGGCCTTTGGGACCTTTTATATACTTTGTATTATAAACTTAGTCAAGTGTAAGATGCTTCAACCAATCGGTATTGGATAATTCTTATTTTGAAAGAACTGAATGTGATCTGGACATGCAAAATTTAATGGATTTCACTAGGTGTTCTATTAATAATTCACAAAGCTTCTAATAATTAAAATAGTTACAATTCTAATCACTTTAATGTGAGGTTATTTTTCTCTTCAGATTATTCTTGTTTGTTACATAATAAGGAACTTTTAAAATAAGAAAAATTACCCTTAATCCTGTTATAATAACATTTCAACTATTTTATTTTTCCATGTTCTTTTTTCAGTAAGTGTCCACCAAAAGAAATTTGGAAGAAGGCACATCGAAGGACTCAAGACAGTGACAGGGCAACAGTAATGAAGCTCTCAGGCATCCGCAGTTACAGAATGGCTAATGGCCAGTCATAAAGGCAAGGAAACTCTGAGGCAATGTCTTCAGATGACTGACTACTGATCATGAATAGTATTTAAATAGGTTCAATTTAAATATGTCCAGTAGTATTAAATACGCTCAATGTTTTTAGAGTTCAAAGACTTATATGTTAAGGCATACCTATCTACAAGGTATTGGACCAAAATGAGCAATATTTACCTTCAGAAAACACCCTTGCTCTTTGCAATTTTCAGTCAACAAGTCGCACTCAACAAGTGGTTTATAATAACAAGTGTGATATAATGTCCATAAATAAATATATAAGATACTCCTTAAACTGGCAATGTCCAGAGTCAATAAAATTTGAAGTTTTTTTACTTAAATTTTCTATTTTTTCCATAATAAACATAATTTTTTCTATAATAAATTTTATAGCAAAATTTATATATGAAACATCTAGTTCTCTATACATAATCACTGTGAGTAGTACTTTAAAAAGACAAAAAAATTCAGTCTCATTATGTATTCAAGGTTTGGATTAATGACGAGTTTATGTATTAAATAATAAGAATAAAATATTGCTAGTTATTTCCTCACACTACTTACCTTATTCACTAAAAGGTAGCAAAAGAGTGCTGAATTCTCCTTTCCAAGAAGTTGGAACCATACTACTTGGGAAGGTTTTAGCTCTTTCTGTAACCACATCTTCCCAGTTTCAGTGAGTTCTACTCCAGCCAACTTAACCAGCAAAGCACCACACGGCTCTTCTAAAAGGGTTAGGTAGAAGAGAGTTTTAGCTTTAATATCACGTTGCAAAAGCAAATTCCAAAGTCATTTGGGCTCCAAAAAACAACTGGATATATTATATTTATTTATAAATACCCAGACTCTCTAGATATAGATCCATTCATTTCCATAGTCAACCTGTCTTTTAAAACAATACAAGTATGTAACAGATGGAAAGTTCAAAAACTCATTTCAGTCAGATCCAGAACAGGATGTGGGGTTTAACCAATTTACCTTTTTAAAAAAAGTCTTCCAGATTTGGGCTTCCCTGGTGGCGCAGTGGTTGGGAGTCCGCCTGCCGATGCAGGGGACACGGGTTCGCGTCCTGGTCCGGGAACATCCCACATGCCGCGGAGCAACTAAGCCCGTGCGCCACGATTACTGAGCCTGCGTGCTACAACTACTGAGCCCAATGAAGAGTAGCCCCCCCTTCGCCACAGCTAGAGAGAACCCACGCGCAGCAACGAAGACCCAACGCAGCCAAAGATAGATAAATAAATAAATAAATGTTTACTCATGTGTAGAGTTAGGTTTTCTTGATGTTGAAAAGTCGGCAGCTCCTGGAAAGTTAGAAGCTAAGCTGTTCAAAGCCAAAAAGCAGAATTCCCTGGTGGTCTATGGTTAGGACTCCGCTTCGACTGCAGGGGGCACCCGTTCCATCCCTGCTCGGGAACTAAAGTCCCACAAGCCACGCGGCGTGGCCAAAAAAAAAGGTAAAAGCAAAACTGCTGTGGTGGGACCAGTGATGTTCTTGGTTGACAAAAGTTTTCCCTTCCTCCCAGCTTCGGGGGTAAGAGGACTCCGAGGGGAAGAGGGAGGCCAGGAAGAGCTCACCTGAGGCTGTACAGCACTGTGCCGTCGGGCTGGACCCGCAGCATCACGTTGTCCGTGGTGGTGTCGTGGATGAAGGAGCGCTTGGAGTGCACGAAAAACATGTCGGGGACCCAGATCTTCTTCACCAGCCGGCTGTCAAACGTCATGCTGAGGTTTTTGAAAAAAAAAAAAAAAAAAATCTGCCAGATTTATTTCTCTGCTCACATACACGTAATGCTACAAGATATGTCGTTCAATAATATAAGCTCCTACGACCAATCGGACTGTATAAACTGCGTTTTCACTTAATGTACTGAGGATATTTTCCCATCTCAATAAATATTGATTAATATCAACATTATTTTTTTAATATACATTTTACAAAACTGACTTCCAGACAGGATTTTTTCAATTTATTATCCAAGTAACATAGTGATAAGAAAGTCTGGGCAAACTCTTGATAAAATTTTAACCAATTAAACTTTAATAACAGGATTTTATTGCAGAAAAAGTTTATAACTTTCCATAAAGGATAATGGCTGACAAAAAAAAATCTTAATGACTGTTTTTTGAAAGAAATTATACATTTAACATATGTTAAACTCTTATACAAGTAGCTGAAAGGATAAAGTTAAGTTCATTTAATTGCTAGGGAAAAAGTAATACTTGAGTTCAGGAAGATATCCTAGAAGCTTGCCACAATATTATTTGATGATAGAAAAACATTTTCTTTAGGGCATGGGTTCTTGAAACCTGTCCTAGAGTTTCAGTTAGAGAAGTATCAAAAGGTGTAAGTAGGATTATGTCCTTAGAAAAATCTGTGACACAGTAAATACACAAATTAGATTAAGGCAGAACATATAATAAAGACTAGATGAATTTAAATCATTGGTACATAATGAGTTAAGGGAAGCCTGAAGATTCTGAGGTCTCTCGTCAATCCTTTAATGCTGCCATCAACACCAGCTGTCTTTCAGTAAAACATCCTCTAGTCTTTAAGACCAAAATTTTTGGGACCAAAACCATGAATCTAAGTCAACACTATCAACCTGAAGTATTAATGTCCTAATTCTTCACTTCACAAAAGGTCATTGGGATTACTTTAAAATTAGCAATTCCCCATTAAGCATTTAAAATATGATGCGGCCAATAAAAATTTAAAAATAAATCTTCCAAGAACTAATCTACTGAATAAGGTTAGTTATATACATCATATATTTTTGCCCAAACAGTTGAGGTTTTTTGAAAAAGGAGATGCAACTTTTAATGCTTATGATGTCTAATTTTAGCTTTGTGTGAATCCCTCTATCTTACCAGCTCTTCAACAAATCTTCTATGCACATATTTTAAAAAAGCCTAATTCATACTGTACTGGATGACACAGATGATGCCAAAGGTTATAAGGGGACAGCAACATGGGCTCCAGTGGAAAAGCCCAAGAGCAGGACTTGGGTTTTGCAGAATGAACAGAGAGGCAGGAGGAGGAAGAGGAAGTGAGTATGTCAAGTAAGGGAAAGACCATGGGCACCTGGAAAAAACTGCAGACGTAAGATGAATACGGAAGCAAATCACCACTAAGGAGTTTGTTATATTTCTGTTCCATCAGATGGGTTGGAAACTTCATGACTAAATACTCTTAAGGTTTTTATAAAGATAGTACATGATAGAAAAACAACTGATTTATACCCTCAATTTAGAAAACATTATAAGTGAATTCATGACAATGGACAATTTCACGAGACAGGAGTATCACATACGTCAAAAAGATTATTTTTTACCATCCGGGATAGGAGAAGCTTTGAGTAATATCCTCACTAGACTGCAGGTTTTGTGACTACTGTAGGATCACATCCATTGTTTGCCACTATATACTGAGACTGTGACAAAACAGCAGGCATTCAGTAAACATTTATTGAAGAAATGAGGTGTCCTAAGAGTTCCACTTCATAAAAATGTTCAGCTCTGTGTGTGTTTGCCTCCTCATCATACACACCAAAGATAAGATCATGGAAGGAAGGGATATCACAGAACAGTCATGAGGAAGGAGTCTTGGAAATATTATAATTCTCTTCTTTGATGGTAGTGGAAACCATAAGCCAAAACTAGAAATAGAACACAAGCTCTCCAAGCCAATACACATTCTACTACACCACACAGACTCTACTCTGATGTACTTTTCTGAGCTAAATCTTTTTGGTTAGAATGGCCTTAATTTGGGGAGCTTGAATCCTAGCCCTCCTTACAATAAAATCAAAAGTCCATCGCTGGGACTTCCCTGGTGGCGCAGTGGTTAAGAATCCGCCTGTCAATGCAGGGGACACGGGTTCGATCCCTGGCCCAGGAAGATCCCACATGCCGCAGAGCAACTAAGCCCGTGCGCCACAACTACTGAGCCTCTGCGCCACAACTACTGAAGCCCGCACTCCCCAGAGCCCACGTGCTGCAACTATTGAGCCCGCGCACCACAGCTACTGAAGCCCACATGCTCTAGGGCCCACATGTCACAACTTCTGAGCCCATGTGCTGCAACTACTGAAGCCTGCGCACCTCGAGCCTGTGCTCCGCAACAAGAGAAGCCACTGCAATGAGAAGCCCGCGTACCGCAATGAAGAGTAGCCCCTGCTTTCTTTTACTAAAGAAAGCCTGTGTGCAACAACAAAGACCAATGCAGCCAAAAAAATAAATTAATTTAAAAAATAAAAGTCCATCTCTATCCTACAGGCCAGGTAGTAAAAATAGTGAAAGGAACATAAGGAGCTTTCAATTAACAGCTATTTTTAAATGAAAAAGATTATGCTGTAACATCTTATTATATCATTCAAAATAGTGCCTGGAAAGCAACCTTCTAGTTCTACAACCATTTTATAAGTAAATAGGTTTAACAAATGAAAACGCAAAATGATCTCTTTAACATCAACAATTTATGTCAGTTACAAAAAGTATTAACACTACCGTTACATTTTACTGGTTATCATCTGTTGGGATGAATAAGACATGTCTGTTTCTTTAACTTTTGCATCTGTATACATAAAGTTGTGGACTGGGTAGCAGAAAATCTTGTTTTCTACCTTTGATTTCATCAACTGTTAGGTAGATGGCTTCATACATGGCCTTTAACTTCTACAGAAAATATTTAAATAAGTGGGGGAGAAAAGTAAGTTTCCTTTCAGCTCTAAAATTTTGATTGTTTGTACCAACTGGATAAACATTTTTATTTGATGTGAAACCCATTAATAACAATATGTGTATATGGCAATTAGAGTGCTGTGGCATTGCTCGACTTCTGGGGCAGATTCCCACTGAATACCATCCCTGGAGTTGTGCGATGTACAGCCTGGACAATCACAAGTGATGACCTTGTTGTCTAAGCACTAAAGAATCATCACTATTTCAGACAGGAGAGATTTAAATTATTGTAGCATTATTACAACAACTGAGAAGGTAGAGGACTTATGAAGTATAAACCATGCTTAGAGCTGAAACGGCCATTAAATGGCCATTAAATGGCCAAATAAACATCTCAGGTATCTTTCTTTAGGGAACAATACTGTTTGATTTGTTAAAGAAGTCAATCATGTCAGGTATGTTTGGGGGAAAAAAATTAATCTTATTCCTTTGCAGCCCTATCTAATTGAACAGAATGATATTCATTCATCTGAGGCTAAAGAAATAAGAATCCCTTTCTTCAAAACAGTAAAATAATATTAAGAAGATCTTTAAATATAACTCAGTTAATTCATTTGACAAATTTTGCCAAGTCTCTGCTGGCTAACAATTATTTTTCTAGGGACTGTGAATAATGAGATAGATAAGAAAAGTTCCCTGCCCACCAGGGGCTCACAGTTTAATAGAAGGATATAAACCTAGATATATAATTACAGGAAAATGTGTTTCAGTACTCTAATTGCAGTGTGTATAAATTGCTTGGGGGACAGGAAAGAAAGAGGCTAATTCTGCTTGGGAGTTAAGGAGAGCTTCACAGAAGAGCTGACACTTGAGCTAGATCCTAAAGAATCCACAGGAGCCAAGTCACTCTGGGCAAAGAACTATGCCCAGGGCATGAGATCACATGGAAGCAGCAGGCATGTCTGTGTGGCTGGGGGCTTTGCCATGAAGCAGGGAGAAATGGGAATTGCGGCAGCAAAGCTATGGACTCTGCCCAACTCTCCAGCCTCCTTTGGTGTCTCTTGTCCCCTTCTTCCCTATGCCCTGGCCAGATGAGCCTTCACGTGCTTACCAAAAGAGCCAACTCATCCCCACACGTATCCTTCCTAGCCAGCCCCCTCCCATTCTTCGGGTATCTGATTAAATAGCAACTCCTCAGTGAGGCCTTCTCTGACCACTATATATGTAGGTTCGCCCTTCATACAACCTCCAATAATTCTCATCCTATACCCTGATCCTCTTCTTCATAGCTCTTAGGACAATTTTTCATTTGTCTGTTGCCCATCTTCCACCTGTACTATAAGCTCCAAGGGGTAGAGTGGTCTTGTTTATTTCACTCTGCACGTACGGCTAGCATAGGACCTAGAACATAACATGTGCTCAATATTTGTGGAATAAATGCTTGAATGCCTGAATGAACCACTGAGTGGTTGAATGAGAAAAGGAGGGAAGGAAGAAAAGAAATCTAGAGCCAAATTAAATAGTTCTTGTATGTAAGTCAAGAATTTGGACTTTCCCTCATAGACAATGGAGAGTTACTAAAAATTAAAATGACTTTTTTTTGCTATTTTTAAAATAACTTCTAATAAAGGAACATTAAAATAGTTATTTAGTGTTATTATTTTTGTACCTTACTTACTTCTCCATGAAGATATAATAGGTAAAGTAATGGGAATATGTTCAATCTCTAAACCATTCTCGGTTATTTGGCGTAGTCGTCCTCGTAGTTTAACATTCCTTCTTATAAATTCTACTGGAATATCTGAAGAACTTGTGAATTTTGATGTCTGTTGATTTATAAGGAGAAAAATATAACATTTTATTACCATTTTCATATTAAAATTAAGCATGTCAAATTCTCTAAACATTTTAAAGAAGATATAACCACTGGAAATTTTTAATTTGGTTCTTAATTTTATATTAAAATTTTAATAAGATTTAACACAAAGTGTTTATGCGAACATTATTTAGAAAACTTTAGTCATTATTTTACTATTTCAAGCTACTATATAGAGAACATTAAACAGACTCCTAATTTCTAAAAGCCTACATCGTCGAAATATGACACAATCCATCAAAACGCAGTGAGTCTAAACATGGCACCACACAAATCTGGCTAAATAGTCACTATCCTATACTATAGATGTACCGTCTATTCATGCAGGTACTGCTGGGAGAACCTAACCAAAACTGAGGCAAGTTAAATTTGACTACTAATCAACAAGGTTTTTTTCCTTATTTTTTATCTCATAGGAGAAAAAGGCCCCTCCCAAAAGGCCAACATTAGGAATTTATTTAAATACCTAACACCTTGGAGTTAGTCAACATTTTATACCTGTGTCTTCCATATTAACAGTACTATAGAGATAACCTTAATTCATAATCATGGCTGGATGAGAACCTCATACAGGCAGAAGGATAAATGAGTACCCAACTTCCTAAGATAGTAAAGTTGGTCTAAACATTAAAAAAAATTTTTTCAAACAAGAAAAATATTGTAGCAGACAAATCCAGAATGTGGAACATTAAAAATGGGATAAGTGACTTGGTTACTCTAACAAATCAGTGGCGTAAAGGGGAAAAAATGGGGGTGGGGTTCTAGACTGTTATAAAATAAATGAGTCATAAGAGATATAACAAACAAACGCAATATATGGACCATTTGAATCCTGATTTGAACAGATCATCTCTTGAAAAAAGACACCACTGAGACAATCAAGGAACTCTTAATATGGTCTGGGTATTAGATGATGTTAAGGAGTTATTAATTATCTTAGATGTGATAATGTTCTATGACAGACGGACACTGTGAGTCTCCTGATGCAGCACAACAGGAAGCAGTATACACTGTCACCTTCTTGTTCACACTAAATCTACCAAGGAAACACAAATCTAGACTGTGGGACATTCTCTAAGACAAGTGGCTTGGGCTCCTCAAAAATGGCAGTGTCACGACAGACAAAAATTAAACATAAAGTGGGATAAAAGTCTAGATTAAAGGAGACTAAAGAGACATGACAACTAATTACAGTGTGTGATCCTGGACTGAACCTTAGACTGGGAAAAAAACTGCTACAAAGGATATTTTCAGAAGATAAATATGAATATGAACTGGATTTTAGATATTACTGCAAAAATGTTAAATTTATTAGCTGTGATATTAATGGCACTATGTAGGAAAATATCCCTGCTCCTAGGAAGTACACTATGAAGTCCTTATGGGACAAGTTCCATCATGTCTGCAGCTTGCTTTCAAATGGTTTCACTGAGGGAGAGAAAGAAAGCACAACCATGGCAAAAATGTTAACTGGTGAATCTAGATAAAAAGGTGACTGCTTTTTCTGGAGAAAACACTGTGAGGAAAAAGATTCTGAAGGTATGTATTGTCAGCATTCATTCAAGAATGTGGAATATGCAGAACGTAAACAAAAGGGAAGAGAAATCCTAAATCAAACACACATGAAAAGTTTGAGTGAGTCACCTGACAGAAGTTGTCTATGAAAAGTTTATGGGAAAGACACAGAAATGTGGGCTAAACATCCACACAGATGGCTCCCAGTATGGTTCTGTGACATCCCTAGGGTAGCACTGATGAGTTAATGTCAATGGGAGGGGTACTCTAGGAGTAAGCCACAGGGCTCTGACCTGGATCCTCTCCTGTTTAATATGATCACCAGTGACTTGAATGAGAGCATAAGGATCGAACATCAGCAGGTCTAATGCTTGGAAGGGTATGAATACTAAGTCGGAGTTAGTATTTAAAAAGATCCTGACAGGGCTTCCCTGGTGGCGCAGTGGTTGAGAGTCCGCCTGCCGATGCAGGGGACACGGGTTCGTGCCCC